ATGTCCCCGCGTCCAGCAACTTTAATTATAGTGGAAGGAGGTCAGTCATAAGCGGATATTTGACCCGGCTCCTTGTGTGGCATCGCGCCCTTTACCGTTAAAGTCGCCAAAATAGTTCTGGACTCCGCTGGATTTACCATGTGCACCCAGTCCCACCCAGTGCACCTGAGTTGTTTTTACCCCCCAGTAACTTATATGTTGTGAATTTGTCACCTACCAGGAGAGGGGCTCGTCAAAGGACATTTTAGACGCAAGAACTTTCCCAGATGGGTTTAGCCTGCCAACTTTGTGCATTTCTCCGGAGCGAAGTGGATAGACTGCAATCCTGTTGCTTGAATTATGCTTACGCGTACTAATGAAGACTAATTAAAACATGACAAACATCGACCTTTAGTGCATTCTAAGTAGGGCTGCAAGCATGTCTTAGATTACTGGTATATGGAAATGAAGTCTGTTAGCCTATTTGACAATATACACACGGGCGACATACAGTAAGACATAAGCAGACTGTCCACATTAGTTGTAAAATCACGCAAACGTAAGGGCTTATATATATGTATATATGTTTTAATATTGTAATATTTTAAACGTGCTTCATTGATACAGCTAATGGCCACAACCAGCTAATCTTCTTGAATCTCAAATCCACATTTTATTTTTAAATGAATCTCCTACTATTTAATTCTTTTTTCTTTCTTTTTCTTTCAGAAAACTAAAGAATACACACGGATATTGACCTGTGGTGTAAATTTTAGCCTTCTCTCTGTTTGTGAGATGTTGTTGTCTGCCTCCCAGGATAGATCTCGCAATGGAAATGCTCACCTTGATTTATTCCATTACCTTTTATTCAGCTGTTATTATTATTATTATTATTACCCTGGTCGATTTACAGAGTCTGATCTGGGCGCTAGGATGCACTGGGTGTGTTTAATTTACACTGGGAAGGATTTGTTTGGATGGCATGCATAATGTGCCATCACCTGAGGTTTATGCTGTCATTTTATTATTGTCCTGCGGTGGAAGAAAAGGAATCAACTGGAATGGCACACAAGGCTGAGCATGTTGACTGAACTGATAAATCTCACACGACACAAACACTTCTAATGATGATTCTGTATCAGTCTGTTTAATGTTTTTAAGCGTTCATACTTTTATTTGTTTGGGGTTTTTTCCCCCCCGTGATTTCACCCACTGGAGGAACTGCGACCAAAAAGAGAATCACAGCCTCTTAAAGGGAGAAAAGGTGTGAATGGATCATTTCACCCTCAGACAGGAATACGCAGAGAAGGCAGAGAGCAGCCCGAGACTGCCATTTGAATGGATCTGAGAGGTAATTTGAGCTAAAATGGAGTCCACTTCTGAGCCACTCACTCAGCCCCCCCATGGCATCCACTGTAATTCATTATTCCTGGCCGGCACTGGGAGAGGCAATGAGCGAGGGCAGAGGACAGGAGTGGACCCAGCTCTGGTGTAATGAAGACTCAGTAGACCTAAACCAGTCTCGCACACACTCGCACACGCACTTGCACACACAAAATCTTTCATTATATTTCAGAGAGAGCAGGACATTAATGCCACTGAAGACCTTTTGGCAGAGAAAAAAAGTGCAATGATTTTCTCCACACTCAATCCATTTCATTGACCTTTTCTATCATGCATGTGACTCTGCCCGCTCACTGCACTGTGAGATAAATATTCCAAGGATAATATTCCTCTGCTGTTTTAATAAATTATCTTTCTGAATCCAAAGTTTTAAGAGGCTTTAAGGAGAATATGAGCGTATTTGTAATTACTTTTACTTTTAATTGCCTTTATTTTTCTTCATGTGCTGTGTTTTCTTGCTTTCTCAGATTCCAACACTTCGGTTGTTCTTTGTTCGACGCCTCTAAAGACTTGTTTTTTCTACATTTCCATACAAGTAGTTAGGTGAAAACCTCTACATAGATGAGGCCCTTCCAGATCTTCCTTTTCCTTGTCCTTCCACTAGGGGTCTATAGATGTCCTGTCCAGACAAGCTGGGAGGATAAATACTGTCATCTGGTGGTAACAAAAGCCATCACTACTGGGTAATCTGGTACTATACTGCATGTTTTCTTTCCCCAGAATATATGCATCTTAATATCTTTATCCACTACCACACCACAACGCGGTACTTTACAATACATTTAGTTTTTTTAAACAACAAAACTAATAAAGTAGTCAAAATTTCATTTTTCTTTGTCCTGGATGAAACAAACAGAAGTTTAGTGCCACAGGTGGAGCATGAAATAAAGCAAACAGTGCCTGTGTAACAGCAGCTCACAGATTTTAAATGTGTGTGACAGCCAGGTGAGATGACAGGCGCTCCCCCAGATGGGTTTACCACAGAGACGCGTGTTCAAAGCGAGGCAGGCCACCAGCGTTCAGTGAAGACAAAGTCAGAAGTTATAGAGGAGAGGAGAAGTTCAGCATTCAAATGTTTAGATAGGAAAAGAAAGAATAAACGTGAAAGTAGCTGATGGTTTCAATACATTTTTTCAGATTGTAGATGCAGATGCATTAGTGTGAGACAAGTTTTTCTACTAAGACAAATCTGAATGCTTGCAAGACTGGGGTAAGAAAGTGATGAAAATAAAGTTTTACTACAAATTATGCACCGAGTTATGAACATTTTGTTTCTTGTTAAGTTTGAACAGCTGTTTAAGTGAAAAGATTTCTAAAGGAAATGTTTATTTTGATGGGCGGATCTGCTGAAAATGGTCACAACCCCATAAGATTAGTACCTGTTGGTTTAATGGTTTTTAATGTATTTTATAATTATGCCTTACGTGCACCATTGTGATATGTAAAGTCTTCAGCTGTTGCATACATTTAGAAGTTCCAGCAATTCACTAATACACATATTTAAAATAATAATTTGGCCAAATTGAGTCTATTCAGATACAAATAGAAAGAAGAGCTGTAAAAATTGTAAACATCTTCTAGTGACATTGTAAATGCTATCCTGTTTGCAAACTGTTCAATGGTGTATTCCTGAAATGCAATACAGTGACAGGAACAAAACCAAATCTGAAATATAATCCAGATGAAGTGTAAAGTAGCACAAAATAGTAATACTCGCTGCCTTCTACACTGTTGAGGGACGGTAAACGAAAGAGCAAATCTAAAGAAGCAGTTTAGTATAGGATTGCATCTTCTTTCTCAGTACACATCTGAACACCACCTTTTTTTTCCTTGAAAAATTTAGTTTTTGAAATATTGCCTCATCACAAAAAAACTCTCAAAGGCAAATATATTCAAAAGTGCCAACACCACTAGAGTTGCTCTGAATTGCTGAAGCCTTTTTCTTTGAGTTCGAGCTGCTTTTTTTTTTTTTTATCTCCTAAGAACTCATAAAAGTGAGAAACTAAGAAATACTATAAAATTACAGAACCACACAGTGCAGCAAAGAACTATTATTATTACATTACATACATATTGGCCTTAAACTCTGCTGTATCATACTGTTATATTTTAATGGCAATACCACCGGTGTGTTTCATGAGCAAAACTCGTACTCATACTTCTTCCATCGTGCCAACTTATTCTGGAAAGCTGCACTAATCATTTTCCACTTTATTTTGGAGTCTCTCTCATTTCCTTTGGCTAGTTTAAAACAAATATATATCTGTACAGTGTAATTTTTATATGAATATACCTTCTTGTCTTGTTCTTTCTGCTGCTGTTTTCCTCCTCGGACCAATAAAGCTATTTTTTAAATCTGATTTTATCCATCTTGTATACCGTGATCTGTACTAAACAGACGCAGTAAGTGAGACTCTCATTTCAAGAGACACAAAATTGCAAAGAGAATGAAGTTAAATACAAAGTAAACAAGTTAAATTTGCCATACTCCAGTGTAGAGTTGTAAATCTTTGTCTTCATGTTTGCTGGCAGTCGACTCGCTGCACGAAATGCGAGGCCAAGTAACACAAATTTCAAAGTCAAAAAAGTGCTGCAAAGAGATGATAGCAGCCTGCCGGAGCAAACCTATAGGTGCCGTGAATCAATATATCTGATGTGCCCTCGCTTGTCTTCTTGCCTGGAAGGAAGGATAGAGAGACGGAGAGACGGAGGGGAGGGGGCGCTTTTGGCAATGAGGGGGGTTCTCTAATGGAGTCTTTCAGTTTGCTGTGGCTGGAAATGAAAGGAGGTTGAAGCCTGGCCAATTATTCTGCCTGAGAAGAGTAGGAGACTGAAAGAGGAGGGAGAGGAAAGAGATGGCGTGTGGCGCCGTTGCCCTGTTAGAGGATGGGTAGATGGATGGATGGATAGATGGGATAGAGGGATTGATGGAAAACAAAAACAGATGCATGTGAGTATAGAGGGACTTCCAGAACGAGGGATTGATTCAGAATAGCCCACAGCCATTGGCCCCGCTCCCAGAAATTTCCCCCCAGTGCAAAAGGTTAACTGTCAGTCCCCCGCTAGGTATAAATAGAAGTCTGCCCTCCAGAAAGGCGTGTTCAGAGAGGGGGTAGACAGAGGAGGGGAGGGAGGGCAGTTCCTCATGATCCCAGTGACACACAGCAGAGGGGGGTGGTTTTAGGGTTTTTTGGTGGGTTGCAGAGGGTCTTACAGAGAAGAGGAAGGAGAGGGAAGATGCAGCCAAAGACAGTACAAAGGAGGGGACAAAAGAGTGTCCTCATCTATTCAACATGACCGTGACAGCAGACACAACAAATGCCATCATCAGCACCCCAGAAAGCTTCATTCCAATTAAGCTGCAGCTGCATTTGACAACCAAATAAAATCTGCGGGCTAGTGTCTTACTGGAGCTGCAGAGATGTGTAATTAGGCAAGTGTCTAGTAATCAGTTTAATTATGAATGATGGTATCAGGTTCATATCACCACAGGGGAAGCTACAGTGTCTGTTATTTTCAACCAGATAGCATCCGTATGTCACATCATAGCAGTCACAAAGTCCCTCCAGTCCCACACGCGAGTAACACAATAAAATAAAAGAAATCACAAAGACGTCTTTGTCAAGTGTTTTTATTTTTCACTTAAATCCAAAGTAGCAAAAATGATACACAGCTGAATTATCAGACGCACACACACACACGGAAACTCTAAAACATTGAGACAGAAGGTGCTTCACCACCTCAAAACATAAAGCTTCCTCTTCAGTTTTAGCACACCTGAATGTACGCAGATTCGACCTGAAGTGATCTGCCACAAAAAAGGATTTAAAAAAATAAATCAGGTTTCCTTCAGTAACACTACTAAATGAGATTTTTTTAAACAACAGTTTGACACAATTTTTTTTTTTTAATGCTGTCTCTCTGGTTAGAGTCATTGGTATTGACTCTGAAGGCATGTAATCTCTGACAAAAGCATTGTTGTTTACAAAAAAAACATAAGAAAGAGAGGATATTATTGCTGTTTTGAATGATCCACACTGCATATACTTTAAAGTTACAAATATGTTTTTTAGCCTTTGTCAGAAATAATAAATAAGGAAGAATAATCGGCTCATGTATGGTCTGATTGCACTTAATCCTCTAGACCCCCAGACACTAACGCACTGTAGGTCTAGTGTGGTAATAATACCTGTCTGATTACACAAGCAAGCCATTATACACACAAGCAGTAATGTCATTATGTTTTTTTACAAGGATACAACTAAACTGTAATAGTGACAAAAGCACTACATTCTATAATACACAGGCAATCACAGATTGCAAATCTTACGTAATAACGTCCCGTCCTCTCCCATTTTAACTGGTGTCTGTTCCCAAACTATCATCTCTAGTTTGAGGATGCTGTTGAAGTCGAAAACATGTACGATCCCACAGTAAAGTGTTTTTCCAAATGGGAATGTAAGGTCCATTCTATAAAAATGCACTGGAAAGGGTTTTTTTTTTTTTTAAACTGCTAGTATACCTGGTACATTCCTTCAAAGCATGCTTCACCTCTATGGTTCATCTCAACTCCCAGTCCCGACTAACGCTTCCTTTTAACAGTCCTCTCTGTCGTTTTACAGCAAAGACAAGCTTGATAACTGATTAAAAATAATACTATTCGCTGGCAAAAACAACTAATTTCCATTCTAAAAAAAAAAAACGAAGCAGCTTGAATTTTGTGCTTCAGTGATCTTCACTGTTTGTGAATATATAAAGTTAAATTGGTAGTCAACTCTTGGCGCCTTCTTTAATCATGTATTATAATCAAGTGTTAATAAATCAGAAAAATGATTTGCTTTCCTGCTGGGAATAAGATGAGAAAGCAGTTTCCCCAAATATTTCCCAAGACATTGAACTAGTCCTTCGAAAAATGTGAAACACCGTTCATTACCATACATACATTTAGTTTGGGGGCGGCGGTCACTGGATGCTTGGAAAATAAATACTTTAATTTGGTTTCATTGGGATTCTACATTGGAAAACAAAAGGATCTCTTTGTGCAAGCGAGCATCATTTTGCCCACTAGAGCAACACTTCCCTTTTATGATCATACAAAAATGAAAAGAAAGAAAGAAAAGAAAACATCATAGCACCCCCATCATTTCTTTTCTGCCATTTCCAGGATACAAGCACGCGTCCACTTCATGAAATTAAACCCCTCTCCTGTTCACTTCAAACAAGGACACACACACACACACGAAAAAGGCAAGGGCTGTCCGCCTGTGTAGTGTGAAGGAAGCCTTAATGCTAATGGAGCACAACAGAGGCGGGAAGGGGCTGTTTGGCTGCAAAGAGATGCAGAGGACATGGCACGTTTGATGAGGGGCTTTTCTGACCTGCACTTTTGCCATCTGAGCAAAAGATGAGGTCGTGACAAAGAGTCTTTCCTCACATCATTCTTCTCGTTCCTCACAGAACGTATCCATTTTTTCTCGGATGCTCTCGCCCGGTCGTCCACCAATCAGTCCATGTGGGGTTTCTCAACACCACCCTGGAGAAAAAAAACAAGACCTATGTTAGTTATATATCAATCAATTTGTAATGCAGCAACAGGTTAATACTTGTATTTGCTCACAGTATAAAGGTAGCATGTTTTGTTGATCTGACTGATATTAGAATCAGTTCCCTTTTTCTTTCTCCCCAATGGCAACCTAATATTTTGCAGAATCGGGGGAAGAAAGTACTTCCTTCTCAACATCGGCTTGTTTAGTTACATGCTTAATCACCTTATTTGCTCATGAGCTCCTGCAATAGTTACATTTATCAGCCATTCAGCTTAAAATCACAGCTAATGTGTAATAAAGGGTGTTTTTTTTCCATGGTTAATCCAACTAAACAGACTCTATCGCTGTCATTTCCAGAAAATAAAACAAAAAAAAAAAAGGTCTCGTGTGCCTCCTGATTCTTCTCATAAATGACCCACTGAAGCGAGTGAGCGAAAAAACACAGAACAAAACCACGAGTTCAGACTTGTGCCAACATTCCTCATCGCGAAAACAAAAACAACAAGTAGCAAATGACCCTCTGGTCAGCCGAGTCCAGACTGGCTCTGTGTCTCACCACGACTGTGAAAAACAACAGCTCTTAATCTGCTTTCACGCTTTCAGTGAGTCAAACTGAGGCAGTGATGGGGACTGGTACTTTACAGACAGAATGAGGTGAGGCTTCTGGGCAGAAGCTTAATGAAGACATCAAAGCTGACTTGCTGGGATAATTATGAAGGAAGGGGGGCGTCCAATGCTCTTTGCACAGTTTTAAACCATTTGACAATGTTATCTGCTGCCGCGCCTCAGCAGAATAATTGCAAATAAAGCATGTGTGGCGCACGGGAAGCTTTTGAAGTCAGCTCTTTAGACACAGAGCGGAGGCTGATAACGATAAATGCGGAGGGATATTTTGCGCAAATACGACATACCGAAAACTTTTCAAACCATTGATGCAGAATCGCCACTTTATCCTCCAACTTTTAACATGGCCAATTGGAAAAACCTTTTGGATCAAGAGAGTCATGTGACTGGTTTCCACTGAAACTTGAAATCTTGGTAGCTCTTGAAAGGAACAGTTCATCTCAAAAGTGAAAATTAACATGTCAGCATCCAACCTCATCCCTGCTTTGTTTTACACATAAAAGACAATAAAACTCCAAATATGCAAATGCTCCTTTTTTTAAAACCCTTAATTCTGAAATCTGCAAAATTTAGTAAATAAGCGAGAAAACCTAGCTATCTGACTCCAGAATAAATACAATGGATTCTACGGACTTAGCTATAGCCCCTAAATATGATGATCACAGGACAGTAAACAGTGGTTTCTTGCAGTGAGTATTGGCTTGTTTCAACTGGTAATATTCCAATAAAGCCAGGTAAGTGTTACCTCGTGAAATCAGCACTTCACACAAACATCAACATATCAGTCTGAACCTTCAGTTAAAGGATGACAGTGTGATCAAGACTTGCAGACTTTACCATGGCTAGTTGGCGTCCTATGTTACCCACAGTAACACCGCCGGAGAAGAATATGCACGGGAGCCAGGAGCGTACGTACAGGAAGTCTGGAGATGTGTACCTTAAGAGAAAAAGAGAAAAGAAGTCACACTTCAGAAAAAAATAAAAGTTAGGAAAGCCATCCCAAGCACAAGTATGAGTTGCAGTTATTACCAAATCATTACCTCCCCTCATCCCTTACTATTTTTCTATTTTGTAAAATCAGGAGGATCTGCAGCTGTGTTTTTCTCTCTCTGCTGTACAGTTTTAGTTATTATTGTATTGGCTAACACGTCACTGACTTCATTCCATATCCTCATACCAAAGCTGGGTTTACTCTCACCAACACCCACACCAAACACTGTCATTTTAGTTGTGGGTGTAATAAGAAATAAAAGAATAGTGATGACAAATCACTGCATTAGTTTTGTTTTCTCAGAAAAAGATACTCAAGAATGTTTTTGTTCCACTTTTAAAGGCTTTCCTTGAACACCCTGTTGTTGCTGATGGAGAACTTACTGGTAGACTCCATTGTAGACCAGCAGCTGTGTGATCACAGTAGCTAAAAAGGCAGTGGTGATGCCCAGTCCGAAGCCGCTCCTGGACCGGTCGAATGTCCACCACAGACCCAGGGACAAGGCAGCTAGCGTTAAGGAGAGCTGCACGTTGTTGTCGAAGTCTAGTTTCTGTGTTCCGGGAAGTTAAGGACAAACAAATCAAACAGCACGAGGATAACATCTGATTATTTCTTACGCAAATATTTGGCCACCAACAAGTTGCACCACCTCTTTTTGCAAAAGGATAAAGCAGATTACTGAGCTGATGCAGACAGCAGCCAAAATTGAGTTAATTACTGGTGTACTTTTCCACTGTACTGTAACAAACAATCACAAAAGTAGCAAAAGTGCATTTGAGAGGTGTACAGGACATGGTGAAAGGATACAACACTGGCGTGGTTGATACCGACGAACACAGCGATACACCTCATGACGCTCGCCCACTCCCTCTTGAACTTGTGCGGCTCTCCCAAGTGGCTGTCGAGACAGGGATACAGCAGGCCGATAACAGCTGCAAAAAAAGCACAAAAAAAGGGAACAAACAGTCTTGAATTGTGCCAGATAAGCAGAACTTCTCTGAAATAAAAACAGGGCAAACTGTGTCATAGAGACAGACTGCTGAAGGTGCATTTCCACAGTTAGCGACACACCTGCTGTACATGCACTTCAAAAATCCCCACATGACGAGTATGCATAAACATTAGCTTTAATTTTAAAGTTGTCTTTTACTTTTTAAGTTTGCGACTTTTTAATCTAACTCCCTACATACTGTCATTAAAAGTCCAAGAATTTGTGAAGGAAACTGTGTAACCACACTATTTGAATGTAAAAAGTGCACACAGTGGATATCTTACAAGAAGAGTTGGAGGAGTTACAGGAATTAGTACCTGGGTCACGAGAAAATGAATATGAAACCATTTTGACATTCGATTCGTCACTTAAAAAAACAAAACTGCTCACAGAAAGCACCAGATGCTCTTTAATACCAGCCTCTTAAGTCAGAGGATTTACTTTACCCCTCTAGCTTTTGTTAGTATATTTTTCACCTTATTCAGGCTCCAAGAAGCTTTTATCTGAGAAATACCTCCTTTGACTCGTCATTGACAATCTTTAGCTGCAATCCTACTAAGAATAGCATGCTTAGATGGGATCTGTGACAGTTGCTTGTTGTGGAACCTGAAATATCATCTGTTTCTTGGACTATTTATCAAGCATAAGAAGACATTTAATGACATCACCTTCAGGTGTGGGAAAGTAAAGAACCATAAGAGCCATAAGCCTACATCTCTTATTTCTCAGTTTGTTTCTGTCCTGCAGCATGCAATGACGAGAGGAGGGGGAGGAGCCCAGCATTTACGCGCTTCTTTCTTTCCCTCACTTCCCTGTTTCTGGCCTTAAAAGTACCTCCCCTCTCAGCTCACCCGTTATGACACCATCCAATGAGCTCGCAGCTCGCCTCGTGTCCGGCTGCCGCGACCAATCAGAGCGCAAGAAAAAGCAACATCCGTTCCAAGCCATTTTTTTTTCTTTTTGATAACAGCCAGACTTAATGATGCCTTCAAAACTGATAATTAATATGAAACAAAAACAAAACTGAAAGGTGATTCATTGTCAGCTGATCATACAAATGCTCCTGACAGTGGTGATGAGAAAAGGGATGTGCTTCTGCTGTATGCGGTTTAAATTCCTGCTGCTTATTATGGCAAAATCCAGCTCACAAAGGGGGATTTCCTGACCATAAGAGCCCATTTTATATACACAAGCGGTAAAACACACCACATATTATTTAAAGTGTCATTTTCTCTTCATAAGGGAAGGCTGTTGTGCTCTAACTCCTCCCCTCTCTGCATTCCTTTGTCCCCAAATTAGCTGCAAACTACTGATCACCCGGGTAAAACCACCCTTGCAGGGTCGTTTATAAAGCACCAAGTAAGCTTGATAAAATCAGCCTTTTATTCACTCACCGGCTCCTGTACCGCAGCAAGGTGGGATCCACCATGCGGACGAAAACAAAGTTGTCATCACCTCCTCGGGGAAGAGGGTAACATTTCTTTGTATCTGGAGCAAGTTGAGCACCAAGGCCAGGAACACTCCGACCGTGAAGAGGACGACACCCCGGCGGATCAGGTTGGCCGTCCGGACGTCCTGCAAGGAGATGTAGGCACTGCTGAGCACCGATGTGATGATTGACATCATCTCTTCAGCTCTGGATGCCAACCAGTTTGCGCCAGAAGATGGGTGCTTAGTTTCGGTCTTTGATGAAGTGGAGCAGCTCCAACAATGCTCCTCCAGCCTGGGCATTTGGCACTTTAAAGCTAAAGAAGGAAACGAGACAGTCAACACACGAGTGCCACTGTTTTCATGTTGAAAGAAAAAAATCGAAGAAATTGTTTTAAAATTGTTCTGGCTGCTCACCTTGATCTCCAGACGTCTTCAGAGTCAGCTCCAAACAGAATCCTCTTCTCCTGTTCATTCGCGCCTCGACAAGCAGATTTAAGCCAGGATCCCTCCTCCTCGTTTTCCTGCTCTTTTACAACAAGTGAACTGCAGTCACGTTGTTTGTTCACATCATCGTCAGCAAACACACGCAGAGCGAGAGAGAAAAAACACACAGTGCTCCTCCATTCCACCGCACAGACCTCATACCACCGACGAGAGCTTCCTCTGCAGAAAACAATCACAGCTGTGTCGGGTGAGAATCGGCAGCCAATCAGAGCGCGGCGGCTGATATGACGTGACGCCACCCCACCGCCCACTTCGTCCGGGACAGACGCACAAACAGGGAGGCTGGAGAGCAGAAGTGAAAGTGGAAACGCCAAACAACGGCTCTTTAAAAAAAGCCTTTATTCTCTCTATGATAGTTTACAAGAAAGTATAAAAGAAATCTAAGAGACAGAGGAGGCGGTTAAAAACATTTGGAATAAAAGCAGTAACTATGACTAAACTACCACAGTACCACAGCTGTAGCTTTAGATTCAACTAGAATATTACTCATTTTTTTAAAGGTAAATTTGCGTTTACCAGGCAGATCTCAAGCTCCACCTCGCTTAGATGTTGAATTATTCACTGATATTCTCTAAACAAACCCTGCTTTTCTTCGTCTGTAACTAAACAAACAGCAGTCCTCTGCACCCTTATATATAAAGCCTTTGGGAAATGGGGTCAGTGGCACAGTTCGTTTGTTTAAAAAAACAAACAAACCGGTAAACTTTGGGTCACTTTTGAGGAGGTGTGGCTTGGAAGGAGGCTCGGGAAGGCGTGTAGTGCCAGCGCACGTCGGTTAGAGATAACGTGTATTCTGAAAGGTTCAATACCCCGATCACATGTAGACTTTTGGGGCTCGTTCGACAACAACGCGAAAACGTGTTTTGCAAGAATCTGCGTTGTCCAGTCGGTCGTGAGTAGGTCAGTGCAATAACAAACACCCTCCTGCTGGATACGTGCAGCAGGACACATGCAACTACCGGAGCACATTTTGCTTCTGAGCCCGAGGAAAACCTCACCTCGCACGTGGATGAAAATCTACTCCAGTGCAAGCTTCCTCACTTGTTGTGTTTCCAAAAAAGATAAATCAAACGTTTTCAGTTCTTTTCACTTTGTAAAAAAAACCTGAGTCACATTTACTTAATAATATCAGCTTCTGGCACTTACAAAGCAATACCATGGATGAATCATTTCTTTATGCAAATAAGACTTGGAAAAAGTGAGTTGATGCCTCATGACCTGGAGCAAATGTGGTAAACAAAAACAGAGACCGTATCAGTGTGACAGCATTTCATTTCAATTAGGTTTAATTAAATGTATTTTTTGGGGGTGTAATTAACAGTGCTCTTGATATTTTGGGGGTATTATATTAATCGTGTGTGTGTTTTTGGCACATTTGTGGTGTTCAAATGTAGAGAGTTCGGCACTAAATCAGGGTGCAGTGTTGGTTTTCACCCAATGTTCAGCTTCAAAGCTTCCACCCAGCTGCCGAATTTATCTCTTCTTAGTTATGGCTGATTTGATGTGCAGTGTGGAGAAAATCATTGTACGATTTATCAGGAGTATTTGTGGAAATAACTGTATTTATAATAACAATAATAATAATAATGGACATTGTAACACTGTGGGCACACCAAGGACTTTTTAGTTTTGCTAGTGGTTTTGTCTCTAGGGTTTGGTTGCTTCACCACTTTGGCTGCATGGCCATGACTTTTGGTGAAGACAATCAGAGTCTTCAGGGGTCAAATCATAATGAGTCTGTTGATTCTCTGACTTTTATTCTAGCACCACAAACAGATTAAAGGCAGCAGTTATCCTGTTAAATATGTATCAACATCTACTTGTTGAATTCACACTATTTTTCGTAGTTATGTTATTGGTCCCCCAGAATCTCAGTATTATTACTCAGTTAAATACACTGCCCAGTGGAAAAAAAACAAAAGGCACCGCTTGTATTTAACTACCATAACCAGAATTTATGCAGGGATCAATATGATTCAGCTGGCTGTTTAACCGTAACTGAAGCAGTGAGAAGCTTCTCATTAAGAACTGTCCAGATTTTAACTGTATTGTTAAAACCTGGAAGGTTATTGATGAACCGGCACCTTTTAGGAAGAAATGGTATTGGATAAAAATTCTGAGTGATCGTGATTGGATTTCACTTAAACATCTGGTCAAATTAAATAAAAACAGCAACAATAAACCTCATGGCCATGTTAAAAGTGATAGTAAGAGCATTTTCTCACAAACACACACACAGTAAGAAAAGAACTGAAGGGATTGGGGGTGTGTAGCTGTACAGCTGTGCAGCCTTAAGAAATCCACTGACGCTAATTGGAGAAATTGGTCTGATTAGTCCAGACTTTGCCCTGTTCCAAAGTTATGGGGACATTAGGGTAAGAAGAGAGGTGGATTCAGTGGCATCACTGAATCTGTCATTTCTAGGCTCAGCAACAAAAATGAGGTCTGCTGACTACCTGACAATGCTGAATGACCAGGTTTTCCCATCAATGGATTTTATTCTTCCCTGATATCAGAGTTCACTGGGTTCAAACTGAAAGAGTGGTTCAGGGAGAATGAGACATCATTTTCATTCATGGATTGGCCACCACAGAGTCCAGACCTTTACCCCACAGAATCTCTGGGATGTGCTGGAGAAGACGTTACCCAGCAATCTGATTTTGCTTACCAAAATAATCCCAGGTCAAATACATGCCTTCATTAAAAGCTAAAGGTAGTCCAACGAAATTATAGAGTGCCTGACTTTTTGTTGTCTAAGCAGTGTACTTTAGAACATCGTGGATGGAAAACCTCAGTGATCCACTTTGAGCAAGCACTTGGAAACTCCTTTAACCAGAGGAATCCTGTTGACTCCTGCACAGTCTGAGAAAAAAGAACATATAAAATCTTTTTCACCTTCCTTTTTTTCCATTTAAGGAACGTTTTGAAATTGTGATCTACAGTCATGTATTTGTGTCATTGCACCGAGGTTATTGTAATACCCTGTTTACTGCTCATCTCTTCTCTTTTACACCTCCAAGCAATACAAAATGCTCCAGCGAGCAAGCTCACACTACTCCTATTTTCTTCTCTTTACATTGGTCCCGGTTGATTTTCAATCACGTTTTTAAAATTCTCACACTTGAAGCACTAAACAGACATGCTCCAGACTATATTATATATCAGCTTCTTGTTAAATGCACAGCTGTTTGCTATCTTCTCTCACAAGCTCAAAATCTATCAGTTTTCCCTCATACTGAAGACCATAGGAGAACAGAGCCTCTTCGTCTGTGCATCAAGGCAATGACACAATTTAATGCTTCACCCCTTGTTAGCAGATTCGGTAAAATCCTTTTAAAGAAAACAGTTGAAAACCTTTCTGCTTTATCACGCATTCTATTGAGATTCTTTTGGTATTTATATTTTTATCGATTTCTCCTAGGTATTTATTGCTTTGCACAGATAAAAAGCGCTATATAAATACATTTTGCTTGCTTTTTTATTCTATTTTAGCACGGTTCTCTATTGATATTAATTGTTGTATAGTAAGTGTGACTTTTTGTGAAAAGCACTTTGTAAATAAAGTTTAGTTTACTTTAAATTTATAGCGAGATAACAAACAGCACAGCCTATAGACTGCAGAATGTGTTGTGAGCAAAAGAGAAGAAAGGAGAGGTCTGCATTGTGTCACAGCTTGAGCCTATAGCTCATATATAACTAAAGGATGGCTCAGGGTCACATGATCCAGCTCCAAATAAAAGCATAATCAAAAAGAGGTTTTGAGATTAATCTTAAAGTAGTTGGATGTTTCTCTTCTGAACCCAAACTGGGAGTAGGGTCAAATATGCTCCCATTTTACTCTTGTGAACATAATCAAGAAAAACAAGGAAACTACACTCTAAAGTGCTCTATTGGCATCATACAGTTCTATGAGGTCTTTAAAGGATGACTGAGTTTGATGATTTGAGGTTTGATGATTACGGGCTTTGAAGGATTTAAAAGTCTATCTGGGAGCAAATAACGAGGCGATCTTTGTTTGTAGTCCTTTACAGTACTTGCGGTGTTTTGGATTTTAATGAATCTCGTAGACCAGATTTCCATTACTTCTTTTACTGTTATAATTAATTGTAAACTAGATGGATTTCTGCAACTATATAGACATTCACGTGCCCATCAGGATAAATTATAATAACTCTGATAGTTCCCCTGCAGCAGCAAGTACAACTTCCTAAATGATGAGTATGATTGTACGGCACATAAAGTGAAGGCAAATGTAGTGGAGAAATTTCTTACTCTGCACAATTTAAAAAATAAATCAGGCTTTTCATTCGATCTAGAACAGCCTGAGAATGAGTCTTTAAATAATACTATTAACTATGTATTATTAGATGTTAAAGTCCAGACTGCACATTCAAAGTGATTGGCTCTAAAAACGCCTTCACTGGGTAGAATGAGAAAAAAAATGGGTCTGATAACTGAATGGGTAAATATATATGTCACAGCTGCACTTTCTGAGAGTTGTTTATATTATAAAGCCATGCGTGAAAGTAAATTGAGGGTTAAAAAGTTTGTCTCCCTGGTTTTATTTCTGAGTATTTAGAGCAATGTCGATACATGCAGTAGGCTTGGACAAATACTGCATGTCATGATAAGAAGTGTCAAAGAAGAACTCTTTTCACCGCTTTCTTAAAAGACACTTAGACATCATTTCACAGATCCTCACTCATTCCTCTCCCTAAACACACTTTTGCTGTCCTAGAATGACATTCAGAGACTTTTCACTTTCCTGCTGTCCGTAGATAATGTCATCAGTCATATTTACTACACCCTAAATTCAGTGCTCCATGTGGTTAATGCAGATAAATCGCCCGAGCCGCACAGTTTCATAAAAGGGTGGGGGTGGGGAGGTCAAAAAGAGAAGGGTGCACCTACGGGAGCTCCCCAAGGCCCCAAACTAACACCACCCCAGTAATCCAACAATAGTATTCTTCTCTGCCTCAGGACAAAAGGTTGTCTCAGGGAAGGAGTATGTGTATATTCCCCAAATGAATAAGTTTCTTTCTGTGTAATTCTCAGCTATCCAGGTGCCTGAGGATAAAAGCCTACAGCAGTGAGTGTGTGGGGGTGTGAGTGTGTAAATCAGTGCCTTTGCCTGAGCGTGCATGTGTTACATATGTGTTAATCTAGAAGAAATAAAACGTGTAGTGTCAGATACGTGCTACCTGAGATGACTGTGATACAAGGAAACACATTACATTTCTTAATGAAGACAGGAAGCTAATTTTTTTCAGTGAGTAATAGAGAGATGCTGTGGGATTTTAGATAGCGCTTCATGCTTCCTCTGACAGTAACATGTGCATTAATTTGAAGGCTGGAATCACGAGTCCTATGTTAGCTAATGCAGGGCCATAACAACCGTGAAAATGACTCGGCATATAGCAAATAGCTCCTAGCAACCAACAGTGTTGGCGCTGGTGTAGAGGAGGTCTCCGCCACGTCAGGAGATAAAGCAGGATGCCACGACACTTCAAATGAATAGCAGATCAAGCGTGTCATAGATTATGCCGTTAGACTGGGAGGGATTTTATTATAGCTAAAGGAGAGGGCTGCTGGAACAGCTGGCAAATTGATCTATCAAACTCAAGCTTGACAATTTTTTACCCCAATCCTGTGTGAAATTATGAAAGGAAACATCATAATCCACCCTCTCAGATAACGGATTAAGACGGAAACAGTTTCAGATTCATCCTACTTACCCCGTTTGCTCAGGTGTCAAAAATCATTGCGTTTCCCAAGTTCTCAGCTACACATTTGGGTAAGCGCCAAAGCGCTTTTAAGTTATTAATAAATCAATAGTAATAATAATAATAATGGTAAGTCAACTGTGGCATCCATCCATTTTTACTGGAAGATTAATCCGCAGTTTCTTTAACATTTCTCCAACTCTGCCTTCTTTTTTTTCTCCCCTAACACTGCTTCAGTGTGTTGTCAATACTCTTCTGGATACCCTTCACCTTCTCAGTGGTGAACCCTTTCTGTGTGCCACGGAAGATGAAAGGGGATTCTGGGTTATAGACTGTATAAACCAGCTTAAAAGGTTGCCATAAAGGCCCTGACTCTACAGCCCGAGGGCGTGGCACCAGGAT